ACTCCAACTAATAGTAGTAATTGTAGCTGTATTTGATGGTAGATTTCTTTAATCTCAGTTTTTTTTAATCTTTCACTGTTCTATCACATTTATTGTCTACTAAGGTCCACATATTAAAACACTGATGAGGGTCAACTATCAGACTAATGGGTCCCATCTGCCTGTGAACGGATTCTAACTCGAGTCCTGAGGTCTGAAAAGTTTACATTTTGTAGGTGAGCTAGGAATGGCCTCTCCTCACAATGATCAGATTTCAGGATCAATAAGTACAAAATCAGCTCAGGTCAAAGGTCACTTTTTCAAAGATGCTGTATCCCTTCAAAAGGCTGGAACAGGGGACGGCAACCCGCGACTCCTTGTGGCTTTGGAAAGTAAATAATGAGTATTTTAATTTAAATGTAATTTGTTTTAGTTCGTTAATTTTTAAAATGTATTTCTAAATTTGAAGATTTTTGTGAACTTGTAACATTAAAATAATTTTTTTTCTGGCACTCAAAACGTGCGTCACAACTGCTGATGTGTGACAACCCCGCCGGCATGCGCACTGTTGCTAACGTCGTGACTTTCTCGCGAAATCTGACGACTTTCCAAAACCTCTTGGCGACTTTTTTTTTTTGTCAAAAGCGACTAGCGACAAATCCAGCGACTCTTTCTGATGTTACTGGAGACTTATCTGGTGTTTTGGAGACTGACGTGAAAACACATATCGTTCTGTAGTTACTGTCCTCCGTGAGCAGCGGCGCTGCCGTGAGCTTCTCCTCATCCCAAAGCGCCCACAGCCGGTCAGGAGTCTGGTCAGCAGTCCCAGCTGCAGTCAGTGGGCCACCCAGACATCATTTTTAATTTGCTGCAGGTGGATAATTTAAGATCGGCAGGAGAACTCAAATAGACATTGAGTATTTTATTTGAAAATAACCTTCAACCTTGAACCTTTTTGGAGTTCAAAATGTTCTTGTTGCATACAGAGATAACATTTTGTTTTCTCTGTAGCAGTTCATTGTTTCCATAAATGCAACAGACTATAGTTTTTTTTATACATAGCATAAAGGTAAAAACGATATATACAGTGTTATCTTCATTTTAGATGTCAAAAGGGTTTGGTGGCTCCTGGTGTTTTCTTTTCCATGGAAAACTGATCCAAATGGCTCTATGAGTGACCCCTGCCATAGTCACACTGTACCTGTACTTACTGTTTAATTTGGCTTGTAGCTCGTTTGCTCTGCAGTCATTGTCATAAAAACAGTTTGCAGTATCGTTTCATTAAAGCAAGTTCTACAGAAATATAAAAGTGGTTATAAAACAATGTAATGATATTATACCTCATCACTAGTCTAAATGTTGTTTCAAACAGATGTTTTTTTTTTTTGCATTTGACAACTGCTGATGAGACAAGCGTTCACTGGACAGTCTCTATGTAAAGTAATTAAAAATGCATAAGGATGTGGATAATTATCACACGTTATTTGATTAATATGTCATTTACGAGTGCATCTCATAGTAACAAACAAGTAGTTGGCAGGCAAACTTCTGCACACCTGTACATGTATCCAGGACACACACACACACACACACAGTTACCATGGTTACCCCCTCCGTGTGCTCCGTAAGTGTCACCGTATCACCAATCATCTGCATTTCCGAATGCTGAAGGCAATTAGAATGAACCTGACCTTGCGCACGCACTCACACAAGTTTAGAACACACGCCGCACACACACACGAGTTGGATCTCGTTAATGACTCCCCTGCCCAACAGAACTCGGTCCACACTGAAATGTCAACAGCTCATCAGCATCAGAAAAATGAGGCCACCGCACAGACTGCGTGGAGATACGAGGTTTTCATCCAGCTGCTGCGAGCTCATTTTTAGAAATTCACATGCAAGCTTCCTCTGTGAGAATAGATCAGAGATAGATTCGTCTGGGAAATGTACAAAGTACATCGACTGTGTGTGTGTGTGTGCGCGATGTAGAGTGATGAGGAGACAACAAAAGGGGAAACTGAGAGGAATGCGAAACTAGGAAGCTGCACTCGGATAGAATTATCACCCAGTGCAGATACTGCGGTAGTTTTTTTTTCTGGTGTGAGTGAGTGAGTGCACATGGGCTTGCGTGGAAAAGGGAAATTAGCCGTGATTCGTATTCTGTCTGTCTATCTCACCATCAGCGCAAAACAAAGATGAGAACACAATTTCAGACGCTTCCTTATACTACACATTGCTTGTGTTCTTCCATTTTTAAATCTCTCTGTCTTTTTTTTTAGGAGTTAACAGGCTGCAGCAGCTGTGTCTGAGTTATGGCCAAATGGAGAGACATTTCTCTAAAATACACTGCTGATGCCAGTTTCAGATTTAAGCACAGGGTGTTTTCAATCATTTCTGTAACAAATACTAA